AGTGAGACTCTGTCTCAAAAAATAAAAATAAATAAAAGGGAGTGGAAGAAGAGTGGGTCATAGACAAGGGAAGATAGGGGAGCAGAAAGAATTCTGAACCTCTCAGCAGAGCACTTGGCTTTGAAGATGGAGGAAGGGGCTGTTACCTAAGGAAAGCAGACAGCTTCTAGAAGCAAGGCACATAAGCAGATAAACAGGGACCTCAGTCCTCCAACCTGAATGAATAAGCAAATTGATTTCCCCCTAGAACTTTCAGAAAGGAAAGCAGCCCTACATTCTGGTTTGGTGAGACCCCTGTCTCTTAGACTAAAGAACTATAAGACTAACAAACCTGTAGTTTTGTTTTGGTATATTTTTGAAGACAGAGTCTCACTTTGTCACCTTCGGTAGAGTGCTGTGGTATCATAATTACAGTTCACAGCAACCTCAAATTCTTGGGCTCAAGCAATTCTTATGCCTTCGCCTCTGGAGTATCACAGGCACCCACCACAAGGGCCTGCTATTTTTAGAGATGGGGGTCTTGCTCTTGCTTAGGCTGGTGTTGAACTCCTGAGCTCAGGCAACTCACCTGCCCCAGCCTCCTAAGAGTGCTGCAATTACAGGTGTGAGCCACCATGTCTGGCTTAACAAACCTGCTGTTTTAAACCCCTAAGCTTGTAGTAATTGCAATAGCAGCAAGAGAAAACTAATACCTACACTAAAATAAACTAAATACTAATACTAATACGTCAAGTGAAAGGACGTATATTATTATACCTTGCAACTGCTTTAGAAATAAATTACCAAACAAAAATGAATTCTAATTTTGAAACTCCTGAGGACAGAAAGCAATTACATATTAGAGTTGGTTCCTCTGACATCTTCCCATTATCAATACACCCTTGATGACACGTGTGTTACAGCAGCATCTTGTTTAAAGTGTAGTTTACAGTATTTCCACACGTTATTTCTATTCAGCACTGACCTCTTAAGAAAATCTCACCTAGCTACTAAGAGGATGTGCCCTCCAGAGAAGATATGCATATTTGGAATATGGATAAGGAATATTTGAAAAAATACAAGGGGGGGGTGAGGAGCCTATGGCCCAAGGAGTAGGGCGCTGGCCCTTTACTGGAGATGGCGGGTTCAAACCCGGCCGCAGCCAAAAAAAAA